TCAAGCAAACAGTATTTTACTGGGGTTTTAGTTAATAAACCTTGGACTTCCTCTAGGTATATATTATCCCAAATATAAAAGGCTAAATGTAAGTCAAATTCCACTGTGATCTTTTCCGTGTCTTACATGAGATGTACAAAGGTCAGGCCCCATAAGCCAACCATAATATATTTTATCAATTATTTTCTTTAAGAAAAAATGTTACTGTATTTAAAAATGTTCAAAGGTCTTGTGTCAATTGGGTAAGGAGCGTTTACACATAATCCTTCACTTACAACTGATCATTTAACAACCGTTCATAGTTACAATGATCGATGCTCTATGGCCTGCAAAACATTTTCAACCATCCTAAAATATCACACCACTCCCCCTGCGGTCAAATTACTGTATTTTGGGTGCTTGGCAATCTCTCTGTATTTATAACTGGTTGCCAAGCACCTCAAAATTATGTAATTCTTAAAAAGGAGCCTCCTTAAGGATGGCAAGAAGAGCCCCCACTTGCAGACTGGCAGAAGGCAGCCTTTGTAGAAAGGCAATGCCTCACTCTGCCTGGGTGCATCTATAGAAACTACAGAAAAACAGAAAGGTAAGTTGTGAACTGCTAGGCCCTGGAGCTGGCCAAGGGCTTCCACATATAGCTGGGTGGGGAGCAGGCTAAAAGCCTCTAGGGCCATGGAGGGTTCAGGTGCACTGATACACCCTCGAATTAGTTGAGGGAATCTGGGCATAGCTAGGTGGGAAGCAGGCCAAGGCCATCCAGGGCTGCAACAGCCTTGTGCATGCCAGAAGGTTCTGGAGCCGGTCAATGCCTCTTAGCCCGAAGCACGTTTTTGCATGCTGCTGTGCCCCGGGTCTCCCAGGACCTCCCCCAACTCAAGGCACCTCCACGCTCTGCTTAATGACTTGTGCAATTGTTTAACAACCACAATTTGGTAAGCAGGCTTTATAGTCATTAAGCAAAGCAATCACATGACATCTTACTTAATGACCAATTTGCTCAACAACTGAGATTCTGGGTCTAATTGTGGTTTATTTATTTATTTATTTGATTTGATTTTTATACCCCCCTTCTCCAACAGGACTCAGAGCGGTGAACAGCCGAGATAAAACATAACATATAAAATTTAAAAAACAGTTTAAAAGACATTAAATAATTTTGGTCCTCAATTTAAAACAACCCAGTTAAAACCAATTTCAAATTAAAACCGAAAGGATGGGATCAAGCCAGCCCGGCTAGATGAAATAGATATGTTTTCAGGGCCCAGCGAAAAGTCCGGAGGTCTGGTATCGTGCGTATCTCTGGGGGTAGGTCATTCCAGAGGGCAGGTGCCACCACAGAGAAGGCTCTCCCCCTGGGGGTCGCCAGCCGACATTGTCTGGCCCACGGCATCCTGAGGAGGCCCTTTCTGTGCGAGCGAACTGGCCGGTGGGAGGCTATTGGCGGCAGAAGGCAGTCTCGTAGATACCCCGGCCCTAAGCCATGGAGCACTTTAAAGGTGGTCACCAACACCTTGAAGCGTACCCAGAAGACCACCGGAAGCCAGTGCAGCTCGTGCAGGAGAGGTCACATGGGAGCACCCCGTCGCTCCCATAATCCCCCATGCGGCCTCATTCTGGACCAACTGGAGCCTCCGGGTGCATCCCAAGGGGAGCTCCATGTAGAGAGCAATTGTGGTTGTACGTTAAGGAATACTTATAGAAGAAAATGAACAGTTAATTTATTTTGATAATAAATTGTCTAATAGGGCTGCCTTTTAGTACACTCAGCATAAAGGCAACAAAATCTCCATTCCTGTGGTAGAAACACAGGCTGAATGGGAGATGGGAGTCAAAAGGAATGCCAGGATGGAATCACTCTGGAGAAGGAAGCATCATAGACCAGACTGGAAACCTTGTCTGTTGGTTCCCAAAGAAATAGAGACAGTCTAGGGAGATTCTTGTAATATAATTGATCAGTGATAAAATAACTGTTTTGGCCTATTCGTAGAGTTTTGGTTCCTTGCATCTGACTATTTCCCCAATAATCTTCTTACCTAATCCAAGAATCTTAAATCTGACCTACTCATTAAAATTTATATAGCGATCCATCTATATCAGTGATGGCTAACCTTTTTGCCATCGCGTTCCAGGAGGGGGTGGTGGTGGAGGTTTGCGCATGCCCACACCCTTAATTCTGTGTGGCCTGCCCTGCGCATGCACGCGCAACCCCCTCTTCCCCCCCTCCTCTCCTGGCACGCAATGGCCCGGTAGGCCCGTTTTTCTTTCTTACCTGGCTCCAGATCCTCTCTATGCATCTGGGAAGGGTGAAAAGAGCCTTTCCCACTCCCTCAAAGGCCTGAAAGGACCCATTTTCCAATTCCTGGTGGGACAGGAAGTGACGTTTTTTGTTGTCCCACTGGGAGTTGGAAAATGGGCCCTTTCAGGCCTTTGGAGGGCCTCCGAGGGAGTGAGAAAGGCTGTTTTCGCCCTCCCTAGATTCATAGAGAGGATCTGGAGCCAGGTAAGAAAAAAAAACAAGCCTTCCCCATGCCCCTCCTCCGGCCCTCCGGAGGCAGGAAACAGCCTGTTTCTCTACTTCTGGTGGGCCCAGAAGGCCCAAAAATCAGTTGGCCAGCGCGCACATGCGCCCCAGAGCTGAGCTGGCGTGCCCACTGATATGGCTATGCGTGCCACTGGGGCACGCATGCCATAGGTTCGCCATCACGGATCTATATCAAGCTCTGGGCAGCTCCTAGTCAGCAATTTAACTTCATATTTACAGGCCACAAATGTATGACATATTTCTTTTACTGCTGTATACAATTTCATTAATATCTGTTATTTCAATTTAGGAGAATATTCCATTTAACATGGATTTTGAGCTGAATTAAAACACATGAGCATATTATTAGTAGCAAATGCAATCAGCTAATTCCTTATTTCCTCCCCAAATTTACTGATAATTTAAAACAAATGCCCCAAACTAGTCTCTGAGGGATTCTTCTAGTTTGTTCCAAAATATATTGCCTTTAATAAAAATGTCATGTTATTTTCTCTGTAGTTAGCATCTATTCTAAACCCATTTCTCTCCAAAATTGTTTTCATTTATTATTACATTCATTGTGAATAGAAAACTTGACTTTTTAAATGAAGAATTATTACAGGTAGAAGATAATCATTCATAGCTGTGGGAAATTAAAAGCCAATAATTATTTATACATTTACCCTTGGCCAAATTAATTAAAAGTGTTTATTATTTTATATTTTAATAGGGCTAGATTTTAGCTCTACTACTTCATTATTAAATGTGGGGTTTGGCCAATCTAGAGAACAGAAGGACTAGAGGTGACATGATAACAGTATTCCAGTATTTGAGGAACTACCACAAAGAAGAGGGGGTCAACTTATTTTCCAAAGCACCAGAAGGCAAGACAAGAAACAATGGATGGAAACTAATCAAGGAGTGAAGCAACTTACAATTACGGAGAAACTTCTTAATAGTTAGGGCAATTAACCAGTGGAACAGCTTGCCTTCAAAAGTTGTATGTGCCTCATCATTGGAGGTTTCTAAGGAAAGATTAGACAACTACCTATCTGAAATGGTATAGGGTCTCCTGCTTGACCAGGGGGTTGGTTGGACTAGTCACTAGAAGACCTCCAAGGACCCTTCCAGCTCTATTGTGATTGACTGATTGAATCCATACTGAAAGGGGTATGAAGCACAAATCATACTATATATAAAGTCACATGAACATTTAAACCAATATTATGGTTAAAAAAGCTTTAAAAAGTTAGGAAATGGCTTTGTTTCAAAAAAATTCTAAAATTCCAAATTTCTAAAGATTTGATTATCAAGTATGTGCTACAATAACATGAAAGAATTTGATAAAAGACTAATTTGCTTATTGCTCCCAATTCAAGTAGAAGAAAAACAACTGCTTTAAAATAAGACCTTTGGACGTCAAATCTTATTTTGAATGATGATATTAGGCAGAAGCTAAGCAAGCTGTTCCATTTTTTCCCATATAAAATAGTTTATTATCTCCAGTTCTTTGAAGGGGTAAACATCTACAGATTGTCCAATTACATCTTTTTTCCAGCAGTGCTTCTGCCGTAACTGACTTTGAATTTTGTTGAATTTTATTGTAGGGTGGCTCAGTGTCTTTCCCTTATCAGAGCTTTTTACTTTTTCTGTTTCTACAAAATCTTCAAAGCAGGAATGTAAAAAGGACTTACTTTCTTTTTGATGGTAGGGATTTGGATGTTTATTTTTTTTATCTGTACTGTCTGCTTAAATATCTATAACTTTTCAAAATGCACAGATGATATCAAAGGGCTCTATAAAAACAATGGTAACAAAATTTCTTTGATTTCTTTTGTTTGGAACTTCCCCCTCCCTTTTTTGGAGAAAACAAGGTACTGTTCATCTCATACCAGAATAAAATGTTATGAAGAATAAATGTCTTTAGCATACAGCATTAATCCTGCATGATTATCAGCAAAAACACTATAATAGTAAAGCTCTTTTTCTACTGGAATCTCTTATATGCATTTAATCAAATGCAAATTAAATATGTTAATGGTTGAATTATTCCTATATCTTAGCATTTAGCGAAATGCAGGAACATAAGAAATAGACAACAAAGGCAACTACATTATTACTAGAATAAAAAAATAAATAAAACTTAACTTAAATTTGGGTCTCTTCTAAAAGAGAGCTACTGCTAAAGGAGCACTTAGGTATTTTTATTTATCTTATATCCCACCTTTTTTTTTTTTTACAAATAACGTGGCAAACATATCCAACACATATTCCTATTTTTCTCACAACAACCCTGTGAGGTGAGTTGGGCAGAGAGAGAATGACTGACCCAAGGTCACTCAGTTGGCTTTCATGACCAAGGCAGAACTTGAACTCACAGTCTCTTGCTTTCTAGTCTGGTGCCTTAATCACTAGACCAAACTGGCTATGATATGATTGGTTGAGGGTATGACTGGTTGAGAATGTTTTATGTACTTACCAAGGAGGATGAATATATATGACGTCCTGTGGTACTGCCTTCAAATGAGCTGTTGTTTCTTTTGCAAAAAGAACTTTAAGTCTTGGCTGAATTTCAACAATTTCTTTTATGATAGAACCATCAGCACAAATTTGGCCCAGTTGATGACAGATAGCTATGCAAAGAGTGCATTCTTCATGCATTTCTAAGATCTTCACAATTAATACACCAGGTTTGCCACCTAGAAGTTAAGCAATAAAACACAATTAAGAATTGATGAAAACATATGAAAAGAAAATTTTCTAAAATTTCTCAGCTACAAATAAGAAATCAGAAATGAGTTTGTATGGACTTCTTTTAATTGCATAGATCTTCAGGAAAACAAAACTTTGTATCTGTTACAGAACAATTTATTCTTAAGTGTTTTTTAATAAACTTAAACATTAAATAATATGTCATAACAAAATGGAATTATATTTAAGACAATGCTATCCAAACATTTCCAATTATTTGGCTTGTTAGAAACTGGCATGAAAAACATGTGCTAGAGACTCTCATAGGCTAGTAGTTTTTGCAGTTATGAGGCAATTTCCTGTATTTCTATCAAAACAACACTCCTCAAAAGACCGAGACTAAATCGGCAGGCCTCATAATCTCACTTATGAAAAAAGTTAGCATCTAAAAACTTAAGTTATCCTTAGTCATCTTAGTAGAAAGAAAATTTTCTAATAAAGAAAATACTGCACAAATCGTGCAATAAAATCCCAAAGCAAGGGGAAGCTAGTGTGTCACTATAATTTTATCCATTGTCAATATCTCATGAACTATTGAAGAATGATAGCAAAATCATTTTTACCAGTGTAAATGCCAACTTGCTTGATCATATGAAGAACAGACTACAGCTTCTGTGGACAGCAAAATTTATGTGTTTACTCTTATTTAAAAGCTGTATCCTGTTATTCCCCTCCCTTCCCCCCTTATATTAGATTGTATTTTAATATTTGTGTATGAAACATAATGAAGATATTTATTTTAAAAAGCTGTCCAGCAAAGAAAAAACAAAAACACATTTGACACTTTGAAATATTAAAGCATTGGAAAAGATCTTCTGTGATGTTTGAATATGGTGTACCAGGATTTCTAAGTAACTAGAAAGTGCAGCCAAGAAGGGGCTTAAAGCACAACATCAAAGAAAACCTGTTCCTGAAACTGCAGCTGCCCTATCAGTTAGGTTCTACATGGAACTCACAAGGCTAAGTTCTTCCCTGGAAGGCAAATCTTTTCGAATACTTGCCTAGAATAAAAAAAAGTTACATGTCAAATGTGGAGGAAGAAATTTATTATAAAACCTAGAAATATATCACTATGGAATAGAAGAAAGTTCTATCTAAAATTTGAAAATCCACCCGATATTACTTACTCATTTCTAATCTGATTGTTGTATCTTTCTTGTATTGCAAAAAATTCAAAATGGGCAGAGCAACGTCTCTGCTAAAAGCTCACCAGGCATAATGTGTCGAAGCCAAGGCCTAGCATAGTAGAAGAGTCCAAAACAGAAACAGCAATTCCTGCCTTTCCTGTATTGCTTTTCTTTTATAAGTCTTATTCCTTCTTGATGTATATAGACAAAGTCAGTCTGCACTCATCTACATAATTTATTGAATGACTCTCTCTCTCTCCCTCTGTCCCTCTCTCTCTCTCTCTCTCTCTCTCTCTCACACACACACACACACCACCACCACCACCTTTACAAATTTGCTGTGAGGAGAAAATGAGGAAATTGAGAACATTTATGTTACCTTTGAGCTCTTGGATCAAAAGTAAGGCATGAATGAAATACATATGCATATAAATCTTTATTTTCATTACTGATTTCATTAGTGGTAGAATTCCAATTAGCCCCACAACTGATTTCAATTTAAAGAAGTTAAGTAAGTACCAAGAACTAACTTGAAAAATGAATGTAAATACCTGTCATACTGTTTATTTCATGGATACATATATGCCTATTTGAGATAACAAACATTTGAAAATAAGTCTAAACTTATATTTTAAAAAATAAGTAATGCTGTGCAAAATATTATGCACAAAAGCCAGCCAATTTCAGGTGGCCTGTGTCAGCACATATATTTGAACTAGGCATAGCTGCAAAACATGTTCCAGGCAGGAGTGATTGAAGAAAAAAATAGAGCCATTTGCAGCGAGTAAATGGAGATTAACATTTTGGTGTAGTGGTTAAGGCATCAGGCTAGAAACCGGGAGACTCTGAGTTTTAGTCCTGCGTTAGGCATCAAACCAGCTGATGACCTTGGGTCAGTCACTCTATCTCAGTCTCAGGAAAGAGATAATGGCAAATCCCTTTTGAAAATGCTGCCAGGGAAACTGCAAACACTTGTTGTCAACGTTTAAAAAAACAACAACAAACGACTGACTTGAAGGCATTTTTAAAGGGCTCTGGAGAAATTGGTAGGTTAACCTGCAACCCACATGGAAGACAAAGCGAGAGATGGTAAGACATATTCAGCCTTCCCTTACATATCCCATAAGATTCCTGTTTTAGGTTTCAGTTAAACCTAATTTCCTGTTTTTGTTTTGAGTTGAAAATAACACTAATTCTATGGTTTGTATACACTCCAAGAAACAAGAATCAGCAATCTTCAAATATCTAGTAAAAGATAAACAGGGCAGTTTGTATGACTAGGTTTGAAGTAAGTTTTCTCCATTTCTAGAATTGTGTCCAGTCCAGTCCACTCCTCCTCCTCTGGTTGAATAGCACTGAATGGTAGAATTAATTAGTTATGGAAAATAGATTATAGCAAATGGGGGACAAGTAATTTTTAGCATCTAGACATTTTTTTTTTTAGAAATCCATACATTAATTATACCCCAAACTCAATTTTACTGGCAGTTGCAAGTCTAGTTTCTACCTTCTCAGAGGCAGTTTACATTTAAAGCCATACCTTTCCGGAAAAGTCCCGTATGCTTGGGCATGTGTATGCATGTGTGTGTATGCACATACAAAGGCAGACCATTCTAAATTAAAGTCCAGTTGCTTGATTTTGAATATATGTCAGGTTCAGGCTGCATTTAGCTATTCTAACATTCTCTCCTATGTATATTCCCATTCCTTAGGTCTTATCCTCAAAATCTAGATGATAAGACAGGTGAAAACAGTGTAATGAACAGGTGAATGCAGACAAGGTACAGTCAAATAATCCAATTTAGCTCTATTTATTTATTCAATTTTTTCTTATTTTTGGATAGCTGCTTATCTCCTATCAATGACACTTAGCAGCTCACAGCAATTAAAACAATACCCAAACCACAAACATATAAAATCAATAAAAAGCAGCACTAAAAACAGAAAAATGACTATAATCAGCACAACATCCAATCAGTACCTCACAATCAACACATCAAAGAGCTCTTGTAAGTACCACGGTGCCAGCCATATCAAGCAGACAAAAGATTGAAGCAAAAAAACATACACAAAGCTAATTTGCATGGAGAAACCTAGGAATACTAACTAAAGTTGTCATTTCCATTAGCAAATTGGTATGAATCCGATCCATTCAGAAAAGTTTGTTGTACTTGATCGTATTTGGCTTAGAAACTCTCATACATATTTCACCAATCTGCTATAAAAGAAGAATCCAAAATAGATCTCTTAACTCTGCCCCTTCTCCCTCATTTTACTATGTTTACTAGTAGTTTTACATCATCCATATGGTGATAGCATTTATTTTTCCTGTCCAATGCAGGAAGTGAGCATCTGCCTTTGCTTCTCTGAGGAAGGACATGCTATTGCCAAATAACTGCAGCAATAACATTATATCCTCTGAGAAGTTGACATATGCTCTAATGAGAAATTGTTGTGGTATCAAAAGCAGCCAGAAAAGATGGCCAGCTACTGTCATCTTGGTTTTTTTTTTTTAATAACTATGAGCCAAGGCTCTTGCAATCAAAAAACTATGTGCATTCATGACAGAAACAACTGAGAAAGGCAAAGTAGCCTCCATAATTGGGAACTAGAGAACTTAACTAATAGAGGGTGTTTTATAAGGAACTGCTGCCTTTCGAAAAGTGATATTTAAGCTCAAATACAAGACATTGCTCTTTCTAATGAAAAGAAATGGATGGAATTTTCTCCTCTCATTATATGCTGTATTTTATAGACACATACTGTATATTGTTTTGGCCCCATTTGAATAGTTCAGAGCTAGTTCTGTTATACTGCTGAATGAGATTTTGTTCTGGATTCTGTTAGATTTTGAGGTGAGAATCAATGTAAGAGAAGGGAGGGAGGGAGGGAGGGAGGGAGGGAGGAAGGAAGGAAGGAAGGAAGGAAGGAAGGAAGGACATTTCAATTGATGTAATCTATCAGATGTTTCCTTGTTCTAGCAACTAAAGGTTCTAGAGAGCAACTGAGGATTCTGAACAGCTTACCCTCTAGTTCCTCATGCTCTGATTATTCAATCAAATGATCTGAGTGATGACAAATTCTTGGCTTCTAATCTTGGCAAGCATTTTGGAGATCTGTCTTTCACTCTGAAAATGACATTCAGAGCCCATATTGGGTTCAGGGTGGGTCATTATAGTTCTGTAACATAAAGTAGATGAATATGGCACTGATTTGCTGGTCCTCTTCTGCAAGAAGCTCAATCTCTTTGATCTTCAATTTCTCCAAATACATAAAAAGGAAGCATCAGAAATCTTTCCTCTGAAGCCCAATATTTCTGTTGCTAAGTGAAACATTTGTTAAGTGAGTTTTGCTCCATTTTACAACCTTTCTTGTCACAGTTTTTGTGTGAATTACTGAGGTTGTTAACTTAGTAACATGGTTGTTAAGTGAATTTGGCTTCTCCATTGACTTTGCTTGCCAGAAGGTTACAAAAATGATCACATGGCTCCAGGGACAGTGCAATCATTATAAATGAGTCACTTGCCAAGCATCTGAATTTTGATCATGTGACCATGGGGAATGATCATAAGTGTGAAAAATGGTCATAAGTCACTTTTTTCAGTGCTGTTTTAACTTTGAACAGTCACTAAATGAACTGTTGTAAATCGAGGACTACCTGTATAACCAGAGTTATCCTACAGATAATATTATGGATATTCTTTCAGCCAAATTACATACCTGAATTCTGACAAAATGTATTTATATGTGGATATTTTAGTTTGAACTACAATTCATTTATTCATTCACTTCAAGTTTTTAATAAAGCAAATTATCTAGTA